ATCATTTGAAAATGTCCTCCCCTTCAAACTCCTTTTAAGATATGGAAACTGAGAATAGATTTTGTGATGAAAGACATGGCTTACCTCAGAATTCGAAATGAGCACATATGTGTCTTGCCTGCAAAGTGATGACAAAAAGAAATATGGCCACTATTGAAGACACAATTTATATGTGCCTATCTCGTCCAAAACGGGACAATATTTGCACACATACAAATTTTGGCCGTCTTGGAATAGCATAAAAAGCAGGGTGCCAGCAGCACCAAGTGTCAGGGAGTTGTTTGGCAGACTGCGTGTAATAGTTGGATGTACAGATTGACAGAAGGACAAAGAGGAAGTCGAAGTAGGCATGACTGAGTTGGTGTCTGTTTCACAACTGCCCAGTGTAACGGCTGAGAAAGGGAGTCACGCAATCCATTTCCTTGAGGCGACCGAAGAAGAAGAAAAAAAAAAAGAAACCCCTCATCATCATTTTTTTTTTCCTCCTACAGAACCACAATTTAAAAAAAAAAAAAATCTGTTGTCTTGCCAACCCATGAGCAGGTGTATTGTCCTGTAAAAAGAGATGACTTTTTTGCAGCTTTCCTCATTTTTTTCTTTCATTATCTTCATTAAGTGGCATAGCAAGTTAGAATTGCATTCTACATTAGCTGTTACACCATTATAAAAATAGTCTGTTGTCAGAATATCTTTCCTTATCTTACAAATTTATGTCCACAACTTTTTCCCTGCTGACCTGAATTCTTTTGGCTGTGGAAAATCTGAGTGCTGCCATGGCATGAACTTTTGTTTTGTTTATGAACTCTCCTCTTATATAACCATATTTCCTCAACAGTGTCAAGTTCTTCCAAAAACATTGTGACTGGATCAATTAAAATGTTTTAATGCCAATTGGATACTGTTTGTGATTGGCATTCAAACATTTTGTTATCCATCTTGCTGTATACCCAACTTTTCATGAATTACTAACCCAACTTTGTTCCCTAGATATGTTTCAGCAATTCTTTTGGACAAAATTTATCAATCAGCCAAAATTAGGTTATGAACTTGATCAACAATTTCAGAGCTTGATACTCTTGAAAACTTCCTAGATTATACTGCAACTCTGGTCTCAGGACCTTCAATGTTCAAAGGTGGCATACTACTTCTTCACAGTTGAGTATGACAAACGAGTATCACTCATGGATTTTCTTTGTGGTTTTCATACAAAATTCTGCCATTGTCATAACAAAAGTTCAATAAATAATAGACAACAAAGATGATAATAATAAATCAGCTTTTTATTTTTTTCCTAATAAAAAAAACAAAACAAAACCCATTCCCCATCAAAGTGTGACATCTTCACCGCGGCATCAGCTGTTCTCTCCTCGCTGCTCCAAACGGGACGTTCTAACCCTTTGGTGATTCGGGTAGAAATCTGGTTACATTGATACCAGCCTCGCCGTTCCCAACCTGCTTCCAACGCCTGGTTACCAGAGTAACTGCACTGATCCCCAGTCTGTCTACCCACGTTGTGAATTGATCTTAGACAGACAAGATCAAACAGGGGTCGGGGGTGATAACACACAATTATGGATAAAAGAAAATAAAATGAAAACTCACAAAGTCCAAAGTATCAAAGAAAAAGGTAACAAACTTTTATGTCTATTTGTTCGGTACATAGGACTATGTCTACTTCCCGACCCGTTCTGTGGATTGTGGCACGGCGCTTTCGCTAGGCAAACTTTAAGGCTTCAAGTTGTCTGCTCTCTAAGAAACCTGTGATTCGGTGTGTCCCCGGATGAAAGTCGAAAAAACTTATTTCTGTGGTCTGATTCTAAGTCGCTCTTCAAACTACTTGTTCTTGGTTGAAAAAGAGTCCAAAAGTGTGCTTGGTCAGCTATCTTGACGCGGTTTCAACACTGGGCGCTCATCTCTGCTTGTCGTCCAAAGCTCAAAACTTCTCGCCAGGGTCCGCGGCTGAACTCAAATTTCTTCTCTCCAGCTTGGGTCGAACGAACTGGTCACTCACCTCTGCTTGTCGTCCGCGGCTGCACTGATTTCTGTCTAGTGGGGCTTCGTTTTTATTGACGCTGTCAAAACTGGGGTGGGTCTGTTTGGCGTCGGGGATTCTTCAATAATTCATCGTCTCCACCCTTCTTATTTCTGGTTAGGGATTTTTTTACTCCTTTCCATTTTGGTAACTTTCCTCTCACTCCCACTCTCTTACTGTGCTTCTGAGGGGCGTGCACTAACTTCCCCACTTCTTCGTATCGGCTCCTCACACTTACACTTCTGATAGAGGCGTCGACCGATTTTCTTCGTGCGTCACGTGACCGCTCTCCGCCAATGAGGTCCTGTCATTTATCTTTCCTCCTCCTTCGTGCGTCATGTGATCTACTTGTCCAATGACGCGTCTTAGTGGCCAATGCGTGAACAATCTGCAGTTTTGTTTAGGGAAAGAAATACCTTGCTTAACAAAAAAAAATATTAATTAAATCGCCCTTATCATGAGCGACTGAGATGACACTCTCGGCTTTTTAACATGTGGTATTTGTCTAGTAGTTTATCGCTAATTGGACATGATCCAAGAAAGGACTCTCCTAGGCTAGCTGGCGTTTCTGAAGCGAAATAAAAATATTTCATTTTCCTTTTGGGTCATGTGTTGATAACGAAAATCTTTATTATCGCAGGGCAAGCGTTTATTCTGTCAAAAGAAAGAAAAATTTTGCCAGTGAAAAACTCTTTGGGTGGGATTTTTCTAATTCTGAAGACTGTCTGTGTTTCGTCAGTTCAACAATGGTCCTTCCCCTCCTGGGGTGACATCCAATTGATAACAAAGTTCCATTTTTCGTGGACACGCGGAAATCGGTCAAATGCTTGTTCGTAGGTGACCTAGATATTTTTGACATCTGCTACCTATCAATTCTAGCCGTTTGTGTGTGTGTTCGCCTATGACCCGTTTTCGTATTATTTTTTCTTTCTTTTTTTCTTCGTTTTCTCTTTCTTTCTCCCAAATCGCTTGAATGTAAAGAAAGAATTATTCTTAAAACCTAAAATATTTTTTGGCCTTAAATAATTATTAAATGGTTGATAAACCGTAAAAAACAAATCATATATCTATGAATATTTCTTTCAAATCGTCCGGATGCATGGTGCCACAAAAGGCTTTCCTTGAAATGTATTTCTCTATATTAAATCTTCTCTACATTCATTTCATTTCTCTTTGTGGTCAAACACTTTCATTCCAATTTAGTCACAGTCGTGGGCCATTTTGGAGTGAATGAAATGTTATTAAGCATTAATTGTTGGGTTTGGTTATTATTGTTTGGTTGTATTTGTTTTGCACTCTGCTTCTCTTTTTCACTTTTTAACCACTTTTATTGAAAACCACTTAAGTATATAATTAGGACTTACCACATTTTTTTTGTTTCATAATATGGAACAGTTGCTGCCATTGAGAGTTGAAAACAGATCTTTAGTAAAGATTTCATTTACAAAATTAATTTCATTGTATTTTTCAGGAGAAATATTTGTAGTTTTAGTGGCATTTTATTTTATTCTATTCTTAATAAAAAAAATCACTCTTTTGAAATGTCTATTTGTCATTTTTTATATATATATATATATATATATATATATATATATATATATATATATAATATTGAATTTTAAGAGAAAAAATTCATTGTTTTTTTTTTCTGTTGGTGGTACTGATTTATACCTTTTAGACTTTTGATCACAAATGTAGGAATATTTGTTGGTTTTATTAAAATGAATTCTTGCCAGTTTCAAAGGATACATGTTTTCTTATATTGGCGCATTAATGAGAAAATATTATTTTATGTCCATCAAGTTCTAAAAAGCATTTTCATCTTAAAATCGAAACTTTTTCTATCTAGAGAAAATTTAATCCTTCAAAAGTAATGAGAGCTGAATTTCAGTAGCAGAAGCTGATTGTTTTTATCGTTTGGCATCTTGACATGACTTTATATGCTGCTGATTCTGTTTAAAACTTCCTGCTTACCTTTTGACCTGCACAGGTAAAGAATCAAGTTTAGACCAGCAACTGAATCTGGTGGAGAGTATAGAGTAAAGGAAAAGTCTTGAATTATATACATTTGATTTTTCTACACTTAGAACCACCGACAACAACACCTGACAATAATAAGGCTCTGGTTGAACAGACAATTTGTTTGAAGAAACAGCCTATCTCTTGTTAAATATTACTCATCTCCATTATCTAAATAAAAACAAAACAAAAAAAAAACACTTTTCTATCAGTGATAAAAGATTGTGAGAGAAACTGATGAAGTAATCTCTCAATTGCAAAAAAATAAGAAAAAAAAAAACATTTAGACTGATAATGCTTGTCTAATATTTGGTCCTTGACAATCTAACATTTTTACCTTGTCTAATATAACATTTTAGTTTTAGAATCTTATCTGTTCTTATATATGATATTGATTTGTTATATAAATAGTTAAACATATAGTTGCGCACTAAGCATTTTTAGTAATGTTGATTAAAATCTTGTTCTTATTTTGACCGTGGACATACTGTAACCCCGGTCTTGGCTATTGTGGCCACTTCAGTTATATGTAAAATTTGTGAAACTATATTTTTCAAAAAAAAAGAAAAAATAAGGTGACCGTAAAATATGTTTGAAGCCTTTCTGAAAATAAGATAAAAAGGTTTGAGAGCATTAGTTGATTGAATCTTTTGAAAAGTGACAGTAAAAGATTAAGAAGCTAGTGAGTTAGAAAAACAAAAAAAAAGATCAGTGTTAGAAGATTTCTGATTGGATGGAAGAAATGTCAAAGTTAATAATCAGGAGTTATATTTATAGGTTACTATTGAGGATTGCAAAATGACAATACCTAATTATGCTTGTTATTTTCAAATGGAAATAACATCACAATTTACTCTAACCCCCCCCCCCCATTTTCATGCAGTTAGTCTTTGATGTAGATTGCTTATATATTTTGTTTTTATTGGGTTGATAAAATTTTTCCTTTCAGTTTGTGCTGTTCGAGTAATTGGAGAGAGTGAGACCATGCAAGAATTCCTGGCAGCCAGCGATTCCAATTTAGTAAGTGATTCTGTTTTCTGTTTTTTTATGGCTTGAATTTTACAATGATATTTTGTCGAATATACTTCCATTGGGTTGACCAGTTGGATTTAAATCATGATTCAAGAATTGTTGTTGCAAATGCAATTATTATACAGAAAATTAATGTTTTCAGAAAATATCAGTCTATTGAATTAATTTATTGCACTGTAGGAATGTTTTAAGTCAAACCAAATAATTATGTTTAGTCATTAGACTAATGTATATTTATATGGTTTCTCAAATTTTCTCTTTTTTTTTCAATGATCTAATACTTTCTGTTAAAAGTAGCACAAATAAGTCAAAAATTGGTTCTTTATTTTGGATATTAATTTTAAGTTAAAATTTACAAACTACTCTTCAGTTACATGTATGCAGATGCTTTCCTTATTGATAACCTTTGGTCCAAAACCTGTATAATCGATTGACAAAAGTTGCTTTTTTTTTCTTTCTTTTGTCCTCAAAAAAATTGTTAATTTATAAAAATCTTATGTGTCTATATTTCTGAGATGAGGTATTGTAACTATTTACATTGTTCAGATTTTGTCCGCATCTTTATTGTCATATTTACAACATTTCAGCTGTTGTACACTCCAGCCTTCTTCAGGTGATATCCATTGGAATTTTGAACTGGACCTTTTGTTTTGTCTACTGGGTTTCAGTTTTAGTTATTTTTCCATTTAGTAATTGAACTCTACAAGTTTTTGTTCACCTCTGCTGTTGCCAGGTATTGAACTCACAACTCTCTGGTTCAAGTTACTAGATTACTTCAACCAATGCTTTTATCCACTGGGCCATGTGTCCTTTAGGACATCAGTGAATGAAACCCGAGATGTCCAGAAAAGGAATGGCACATGATACTAGAACAATCTACCCCAATGAACGAAGGGTTTGGTTTGAAATTCCAGTGTATATCATCTGAAGATGGCCGGGGCATACAATGGCCGAAATGTTGTGCATATGACACTAAAGATGAGGACAACAGTCTAAACAATGTAAATAGTTTAAAAAATCTTATTGTATTATTTTCATAGTCATATCTGACGACGATATAAAATCTGACTATACAATATATTATTGTATCATCAGATTTTCAGCATCTTTTGTGGTAAAAGAAAAAATGTCATTCAAGAAAGTGATAAAAATATTCTGTATGTAAAAAGTGTTGGAAATGGTTTATAAATAACAACTGGACTTTTGTTAATCAGATTAGCATCTTGAGAGTGCTGTGTTATAATGGCTTCTTTGTGGCATTCAATAAAAAGTCTAGAAGAAGCTGTTTTCTAAAATTAAGTAAAGCTAGTAAACATTAAACAGAAATCTAACAATGTTCAGTACTTTCTCAATTTGCCTTTATTTTCCATAAAATGTATATTGATAAGATTGTCTTCAACATCTTAAACAGAGCATTTGCTTAGGTTTTTTTTCTTGGTATGTCATTTTTCCTTTTTAATTGTCCTAACGAGAGTTGCATAAACAACTAGAGAGATTTATATAGAATTATTAAAACAAGTTTTGTTTTTGTAGTGATTGGAAAGATTAAATAATTTTATTAAATTTTAATTTACTGGATATAATTTGTTAAAAGTTTATTCTTCAACCACATTCATATTTTCAGTATGAATAATTTTCTGTTGATTTGTGTTGTAAAGTGGTGTGTGTGTGTGTGTGTGTGTGTGTGTGCCCCAGAGTCCTGATCTCATTCTTATATTAAACCACTGAAGCTGGTATTACTTTTTTTTTATTAATATGTTTGGTCCCATTTATTGCATAATACAGCAATAAGTCACAATGTTCAAAGCCTAATTGTAGGTAAATTCACTTGGATGACTTGACCAGTTTAAATTGAAATATTCATTGCAATATTTGAATAATGAATAATAAATTCTCAAAATTTGTTCTCCTTTTATTTTCTCAGTGAGTTATTCGGGGAACTTGGTTGTTTGCCATTTTCCCTTCTTATATTTTGGATGGAATCCATTATTATTCTGTTTCTGCAACTAAATGTATTGAAATGTGTGGCTTTTGCTACAAGAAATGTCTTCTCCCCAATTTTATGCAATAATCAATAAAAAATACGTTCTTGAGGAAATTGCAAAGAAGAGTCTGATTTCTTTTTCTTTTTTTTTTGTAAAATTCTAAAATGAAAGAAGAGATTATCGAAAATATTAACCTAATAGTTTTTCAATTATTGTAACTAAAATACTTCAGATTATATTTTACATTTTTCTACTACTTAATTTCAGTTTTTCCATTTATTTTTTACAAGAGGCAGATTGTTTGGTCTTGTCTAAGTGTTATTAACTAGTAAGCTATTCTGTAAAAATATGACTTTTTAATTTATTGAATTCTTTGTACTTTGCAACTTTGACTCGGACAAAGAGAATATTATTTTGTGGACAAAAGATAAATTCGATAGCTGGACAAAATGGCTTTGTAGCTATAAATTACAGTATTTGCTTTTCAAACCTATCAACTCGATTCTTTAATCTTAGAAAAGAATTTTGTAATCATTTACATAGCTTCCCCTTAATTTCATTTTCACTTTGTTTGTATAAATCAAACTTGACTTAGTCTTCTATTTTTTTTTTTTTTTTTTTGTAGAAATCAATTTTAACATTGAAGATATGTATGTAAAGAATGGATGCTTTTTTTTCCGTGTATGAAAATTTGTATTTGACTGTAATGTAGAAAAAGTTCTTTTTCATAAAGGTTGATCAATAAGTTCATGACCTGACATGGTCAGTAAATGAATTTTGATTTGAATGTTTCACTGTATGAGGTTTGATCCATATGTTTAATACCACTGAATTAAGTGCATTGACAAAGAAAATCATTGAAAAAATTTTTAAATGATTTCATTTTGTTTCCTTCATTAGACTACAAATTTATTGATAAGATATTTGGATACATGTCGTTTTATTAATCAGTCATTTGTTTTATAGTTGTCTACTCATATATATAATAGAAACTATTGTAAAGTGGTCAGCATTATATTTTGAAATGGATGAACTAATATTTGAACATTGATTGATCCAATTTCTATGCACTAATTCAGGTTTGGGATATTTTTAAATGAGCAAATAATTGATTCATTTTTCTGATTCATATAATTGACAAAGATATTGGTTGGAAACTATCAAAAGGTCTCTTTCATTATCTCTTACATTTTAATTTGTTTCCTGGTAATTTTATGAAAATAAGGAAAAATTATATTAATCTCTAAGTAACTCAGATGTTTAGTTTTGAAAGTAGTAAAACTTTCATGTTTTCATTTTCCTCTTTAAGATTTTGATGGTTGACAATTAGAAAACCAAAGATGATACTAAACATTTGTTGAAAAATCTTTGTAGCAATTTAGAAACAATTTACTTAAAGTGTATAAAATAAGATTATTTTTATATATTATATACAAGGTAACAAAATAAAGTTCTTGCTTTTTATGATAGGAAAAATAAACAGTACACAGGAAATTTGACATACCATTTGCCCTCAAAGTAATCCCTATCAGCATCGAGAACCTTTTGCCAATGTGCTTCCAGCTATGCAATATTCTGGTAGTAAAAATCAGGTGTCTTGGATGCAAAGAAGTCTGTGAGTGCTTGCCGCAAGTCTGCCTTATTTGTGAAGGATTTCCCACAAAGGCGGTTGTCCAAAGAATGGAAGAGATGGTAATCTGTTGCTGCAATGTCTGTGGAGTAAGGTGGATGGCACAGTGTCTCCTTGCCAAGTCCCTGTATGGTATCCCTGCACAACATAAGATCTGGGTATTGTCATGGAGGATCAGTATACTTCTACTTCAGAGCCTGTTGCACATGTTTCAACATCTGCAAGTACAGGTCCACAGTGATGGTTTGACCTGTTGGTAGCAGCACCACTTGTCAACTAGTTCATTAGATACAGAGCATGATCTTGCGTGGGTGTAGAGGTGGTCTTGTGGTGTGAGGCACAGTATCCTGTGGTGACAACCAATGTCTGGCACACTTGGGAGTGCTATACAGGACCCACTTATTTGTTATTGGTGAGCACTCTATCAAATATGGGTATGTTGCAGTGCCAAGAAATCAACAAGAAACAGGCTGTCACTCATTGTTGCTTGTTGACTACCAACAGTGTGTGGGCTCCTCACTTGCTCAACTTACATGCCTTCCTTATAGAATGATGAAGTCTGTTACATCAGAAACATGGAAGTGTTCAGGAAGCTCACCACAGGTTTGGCTTTTGTCCTCCTTTATGGCTGCCTTCAGGGTCACATAATTCAGAATCTGTAGTCGGCCATTGTGGGCTTTATCACAATGGGACAGATCTTGCAACCTGAACTTCTGGAACCAATGCCTGGTGGTGCATTCACTCACAGCATTAACCCCCAAAGGCTTGACGTTTTCAGTGACTTGATTCTGACAAGCCCACCTTAAAGTCATATAGAAGACAATCCTGAACAGGCTGATTTGACATACTGCCATGTTTCCTTGCTTCTGCTTGAACTATGCCGTTTTTGTGTGTGTGTGTGTGTGTGTAATGCACCTGCATTGGTCAAGTGCACCCTCACTGCTTTCCCAGTATGTGATGCACTCATTTCCACACAACATAAAAAAATGTCAAGGACTTTTTTTAGTTACCTTATAGAAAGTGAAAAGAAATGTTTATATTTCCTACTTTATTTAATGACATACAAGTTCTCTCTTCTTTCCAGTTAATATAACAGTTAATTAATGTTGGACTAAAACAATTACTAGTAGTCTATGGTGCACAAGTATAGGATACTTCAGTTTTGCCTAGAAGTCCTGGAGGATTAAAAAAATTATTTATTTTTTAATGTATTTTTAGATAGCGGAAAGTGATTTTTTTTTTTTTTTTTGTTTACCATCAAATACAATTTTAAATTGAATTAATTTTAACAAAAAAGAAAAAAATAGTTTCCTTTTTGTTCTTTACTTTGTCTGGCATGATGAAATTTTAGTTTCTTTCCTTGAAGCAAATAT